TAATAATAATAATAATTTAACCATACAAAAAAAAAATATATATCAACTTTTAAAAAAGCATACATTTAATAAAAAAAAAGCTATGGTCTGTCTGGTAAGGGAGCGTGTTCTTCATCATCCCACCTGTCAGACACACACACACATACACACACACACACACACACACACACACACACACACACACACACACACACACACACACACACACACACACACACACACACACACTGAAATGGTCCTTTCGGGCTGTTAAAATAAACCCTGCTGTACGTCAGTGAGCAGCGCTCAGATGAAGACGGTTGGATTTATGGCCTAATGCATTACAAAGCTAATCAATTAGCACAGCCTGGCACACACTGACTTCCACACTGGGGGGGGGGGTTTACTATCGAACATTAATCAGTTCACAAGAGAATAATGGCACGAGGGGATTAAAGGAGGTGAGTGTTTTCCTGATAGATTTACAGCACACATGTTATACACTCAAGGCTGTATTTTGGACTCAATCTTTTTTCCCTGCAAAGCATTTTCTCACTCGTGTGTATAACAGCCGTGAGATGAGGATGACATATACATATACGTACAATTAATAAATAAGATTCCTATTCAGGCCAAAAGTTCAGAAAATAAAACTCATGGATTTAAGATGAACAAATGATTTACTAATGCATTTATAGAAAACGTTCAGATTTCCAGGTTTAAATGATTGAAGCATAACTCTATTATTTATTGAGCCTGAATCAAGCAATGAGTGAACACGTATACACCCTGTATGAAAAGTGAGTCAGTCCATCTGTTCATCCATCGATTAGCTTAACACTCACTGATCAGAAAAAACAAGTTTTGGAATATTAAACGTTCAATGGACATTTTCTCAATTTGAACAGATTAATCATAACCAAAACAAGCATGACTTCAAATGTTTCTGCTTTTAAAGTTGCATGAAATATTGATGAAATTAACTTTTTATCCATTAAAAAGTCAAGTCTTAAAGGTTATTATATATGATACCAGTTCAAACAGGAGGTTGAGAAACTGACAGAACATTATGGGAAGTATGATAAAAACTATTTGTCTAAAACGTCTAAAAACCTATGTTTTTATGGCTGCTTAAAAACAAACACTCTACAGCACAGCGATCAAGAGAAGCGGATCATTCACACACACTCACACACACACAGAAAATAAATATGTTATCTGGGCAAAAACACACAGAAAACCCTGAGGAATTGAGTGGGAGGACAGTGTTCCTGGTACCACTCAGATAACCTGCGCAGACCCCAGCTTCGTAAGAACCTCAGCACCAAAACTTTGGGCTGCATGGAGACCCAACCTGGCCCCTGCACCGTCACACACTCTCTGCGTGTGAGTGCCGTAGTAAAGAACAGTGCCATGAATAAATCACTGCTTGGACTGAGCTGTGTGTGTGACAGCAAGGCAGTAAAATGTGAATTGATGACAAGTGTTAGTTAAAGTGAGGTTACGATACATGAGCCGCTCAGCAGGCAACATGATCCTGCTCACATTATGATTTAATGTTGAGAGAGAGGAAGCACTTAAACACACCAGATAAAAACACCCGAAAATGATTACATGGAGTTCTACATGACTCGTTAGATTTGTTATCCAAAAGCCACCAGCTGTAGAGCCATCCAGCTTTACTATTTGCTTCATACAACTCCATGTTAGTAATAGCTTTAAAAATACATTTAAATGTAATAAGGCGAGCACTCCTTTAACACCACATCGTCCTGAGAAGGAGAAGACAACCCCAGGAGGAGCGGAGTGAGTGCAAGTAGTGACAGGCTGAGTTTGAGCCTATTAAGAGTCCATACAGCCCAAAGACAGCGTGAACAACTCATTATTTCATACTGATCCAGCAGTCAATCACAAAAAAGCACACACACACACACACACACACACACACACACACACACACACACACACACACACACACACACACACACACACACACACACACACACGCACACACACACACACACACTACATGTTCCAACAATACAGCAAACAAAAAGGTAGCAGATCGTTACCTGAGTATCCATGAGGAAAGCTCCTTTAAAGGAAAAAAAGTCAAGACAAAGTGAGGGGAAAAGGAGGCGAAGCAAAGTTTCGTTGGCTTCCTGGTGTGTGAGGCTCCCCGTTAGGAACTGGCAGGGAGTGTTTGAGTCGGAGAGGGAGTAACTGAGGGGAACATGTTAGCACACTGAGTGTGAGAGACTTTGGCTCCCAGCTAGCTCTGATTCATATCAGATCATCTGCCTCTCTACTCGCTGCCTCCTGACAATCTTGTCACATCTGGCTGACAAATCCTCACAAGCCTTTTTGTGGCAGATGCAAGGGGTGGCTGCTGTGTGTGTGTGTGTGTGTGTGTGTGTGTGTGTGGAGTTTGGGGGTGTTAAGGGGGTATGCCGGGACCAGGGGGGGCAGATCACAGCTTGAGGAGACGCTGAAGGGGGTACAAGGCTGTAGCATACACACACACACACACACACACACACACACACACACACACACACACACACACACACACACACA